CCATATCTTTTTACACATGGTAAATATGCTTGGGCAAGCAACATAAATTCAATTAAATTTCAATTTATATCTTTGTGTAAGGGTTGTTATCAATTACCAAAAAGGAGAGATTGAAAGCTCTAGTTTGATTTTGGTGAATTGATAAAACCCTAAATGCTAACCTAGTTTATCAAAGTGATTATGAGATAGGTAGTACTACTCCAAGTGGTGAAGCAAATGAAGATCATGATATGATGATGGTGATGGCATGATGATGATCAAATGTTTGGACTTGGAAAAGAAGAAAGAAAAACAAAAAGCTCAAGGCAAAGGTGAAATCGATAGGAGCTTTTCAGTTTAGTGATCAAGATACTTAGAGAGTGTGATCACATTTAGGATTGATAGTCGTACTATTAAGAGGGGTAAAACTCGTATCAAAATACAGTTATCAAAGTGCCACTAGATGTTCTAACCATTGCATATGCATTTAGGATCTAGTGGAGTGCTAACACCCTTAAAAACATTTTGTGAAAATATGCTAACACATGTGCATAAGGTGGTACACTTAGTGGTTGGCCCATTTGAGCAAGGGTAAAGAAGATAGAGTTGAAAAGGAGTTAGTCGCGCTGGTCACAGAGCGACCGGACGCGTTCGGTATTCTATCTAGACTTCGGGTGTGCCTGGACACAGCGACCGGACGCGTCCGATATTTGGGCCCGAGGTGAGCGACTAAGTGAACGTGATCGGACTCTGGCTTAGTGGAGTGACCGGACACTGACCAGTTACTGTTTAGCGTCAGGTCCAAGTGATATAGCCCGAAGCAGGATTGCTGACAGCGACCGGACGTAGCCACACCGGACGCGTCCGGTATGAACTAGCAAATCTTGGGTTTCAGCACTATAATTGATCGGACTCTGGGAGCGTCCGGTCCGGTGTGACCGGATGCGTCCGGTCGGCCCAGAGCGGCTATGGGAGCTTTCTAGACTCGATCGGACGCTGCGTGTCCTGCGTGCGGTCCGGTGTTACCGGATGCGTCCGGTCGGCCCAGAGCGGCTCTGGGAGCACTCTAGACTCGACCGGACGCTGCGTCTCCCGCGTCCGGTCGTTTTCTAACAGCGCGTCCGATCATGTAGTATTACTGTGCATAGAGATAGCCATTGAAAGAGACACGTGACAGTCTAGCTGTGACCGAACGCGTCCGGTGCACACGACCTGCGCGTCCGGTCGTCCCGCGGTCAGCCCAATAATTAAGCCAACATCTCTATTGTTTGGGGGTGTCTACAAATACCATTTGGCCGGCTCTAACTCACTCTCTTGGCTATTTGCATTGACATAGCAACCTTGTGAGCCTAGCCAAAGCCCTCCCACTCATCTCCATCATTGATTCATCATCTTTGTGAGATTGAGAGTAAATCCAAGTGCATTGCTTGAGTGTTTGCATCTAGAGGCACTTGGTGTTTGTGTTTCGCTGCGGGATTCGCTTGTTACTCTTGGTGGTTGCCGCCACCTAGACGGCTTGGAGCAGCGAAGATCGTCGAGCGAAGGTTGGTGATTGTCTCCGGCTCTGATCGTGGTAATTGTGAGGGGTTCTTGACCTTTCCCCGGCGGAGAGTCAAAAGGTATTCTAGTAAATTGCTCGTGGCTTGTGTAATCCTCATCTTGTGTTGGTTGTGCGGCATCCTATTGAGGGTTTGGTGTGTGATGCCAATTAGCGCGTGAACCTCCAAGTGAGTGAATCGCCACAACGAGGAGTAGCTTGCCGGCAAGCAAGTGAACCTCGATAAAAAATCATTGTCATCTTTTGATTCCGATGTGATTGGTCTTTATTGGTATTCATTCTTGTGATTGATTGGTTCATTCCTCGACTCGGCGGTATAATCATCTTGCTCTATCTCTTTACATTACCGTAAACTAGTTGTTAAGATCTTTAGTGTAGCTAGTCGTGAGAGCTTGTAGTTTGGTTAGTGTGGCTCTTTAGTTAGCCTTTGAGAGCACACTAACTTAGTGTAGCGATACAGCCATTGTATGGATAGAGACTATAGAAACTAGAATTGTGGTAGGTGGCTTGCATTTTTAGTAGGCTAGCGCAACACTCGCTTCGCCTTATATTTGTATAACTGGTTTGACTAAGTGTTGTTGTAGAAATTTTTAATAGGCTATTCACCACCTCTAGCTATTAGGACCTTTCACCCCCACGGCCTGCTAAGAGTAAGAGCCCACTTTAATCCCTAACCCCCCTCCCACGACCCCACCCCCGCAGCCCTCTATCTCACGACTCGTAGTCACGGTCGCGATTGCTTCCCGGCCCTCTCGCTCGGTCGCGCTCACCTCCTCGCCTCTTCCTCCTGCTCGTGGCCTTACACCACCGCACCACCGGCCTTCTTCTCCACGCCCTCCCTCGTGCAGCCGCATCGCCCGCGTCGGCTTCTAGTGGTGGCGTCGGCTTCCAGCGTTGGATCCAGCGACGGTGGCGGCTTCGAGCGTTTGATCCAGCGGCGGCAGCTTCGAGCGCGACGGCGGCGAGCGCGGTGGTCGACCTCGAGCAGCTCCATTCCGCGGCGGCCAGCACACTGGCGGTCGCCGCCACCTCTCCTGCTTCCCCTTCCCTCTCTCTGTCGGTGGTCAGTGGGCCTCGGGCTGGCCCAACCCGTTGGCCGTGGCGTGCTTTTTCGCCACCGACACGAAAAAGCGACGACGAACAAGCAGTGCACTCGCCGCCGTCACCGCACGAAGCCCGGGCCAAAGACGGGCCCGAGAGGCACGCACGGCGTGCGTGCCGCCCGACTTCATCGGGCCGTGCTTGGCACGGGCCCGTTGGCCATCTATAGGTCTAGCCGTACAAATTCTAAGCAAATACATACGCGCTTTCTTTGAATGAAGGCGTCTTTTGTGGAGTCGCCTCCGAGCAGACGACGTCATTAGGATAAGGGGACCTAGCCGCAAGCAAGAGCGCCCTATCCGCATCCGCATAAACCCCCAGTCAAATTGAACGAGAGCGCCACTCTCCTCTGCTAATCCCTCCCGAAGCAAGCATGGCCATGGCGGCCGTGGGCGTCGGCGGCGCAGTGGCCTCTCTCCTCCCGCAGCGCCGCCGCGGCACCGTCGTCCCCTGGAGCGGCGTGGCGGCCTGCGTCGGGCGGCGGCGGCCGTCCGTGGCGGTGCGCGCGTCGTACGAGGCCGGGGTGGGCGTGATGGCGACCAAGGTGGGGATGATGACCTACTTCGAGCCGGAGACGGGGAAGCCGGTGCCGGTGACCGTCGTCGGGTTCCGGGAGGGCGGCAACGTGGTGACGCAGGTGAAGACGGCCGCCACGGACGGGTACGACGCCGTTCAGGTCGGGTACCACGGCGTGCGCGAGGACAAGCTCACCCGCCCGGAGCTGGGCCACCTGGGCAAGGCCGGCGCCCCGCCGCTGAAGCACCTGCAGGAGTTCAGGCTCACCGCCATCGACGCCTTCGAGCCCGGCCAGCCGCTCGACTTCGCCGACCTCTTCAAGGAGGGCGACCTCATCGACGTCTCCGGCAACACCATCGGCAAGGGGTTCCAAGGTACCAATTCTCACACCTCCATCCATTACTGCATTTGCGCTAGCAACCGCAATTATCCACATTTCTGCTAATTATATCCACAATCCTCCGGCTGTATCATTCCGTTTCTTGGAGAACGAAGTTAGCAGCATTTGCAATTCTTGGCTTCCAGCGATTCCACTGTTCTGCCTTGCTCGCCAGCACTGCAATGAGCTGAAAACTGTATGCCTGGCAGTTCTTGTCAAACCTTGGCTGTAGCTGTAGATTCAAGGGTGTGCATTTGCAATTGCAACGCCACTTGTGCAATCTCCTATCCTACCATGTTCAATCTCCTACCCTGCAATGTTCTTGATCCTTTCGCGGACGGGTTACTTGTGACATTGATCGGCAGGTGGCATCAAGAGGCACAACTTCAAGCGAGGGCCGATGACGCACGGTTCCAAGAGCCACCGGCAGCTGGGTTCCATCGGAGCCGGGACGACTCCGGGGCGCGTGTACAAGGGGAAGAAGATGCCCGGGAGGATGGGTGGGACCAAGACCAAGATCAGGAAGCTCAAGATCGTCAAGATCGACAACGACCTCCGGGTGCTCATGATCAAGGGCGCCGTGCCCGGGAAGCCTGGGAACCTCCTCCGCATCACGCCAGCCAAGATCGTCGGCAAGAACATCCCCAAGAACTAGACTTTTTTTTTTTGAGGGGGTGAATGTTGAGTGTTTCCTACCCTGCTGCAAACTGGATGTAATTCTTTGCCAATCGCCAGTTTTTGTATACATGCAACTTCAGATAGTAAGGGCCAACATGATGCTTGGGTGGGCGATAAACTTACAAGCGGATTAGAGTATGACCGTAGATCATACAAATAGTTAATTAATGTGATAGTAGATCATGCAAATATGTAATGATCTGAAGCAGGAAATGCAACCAAAACGGAACCATGAAATGCGACAAACAAGAAACACTGCAGATATAACCTTGTGCAACAGGGGCAAAAAGGGGAACTTTGACGTTATCGTAAAGCTTCCACCATAGCTAATCATAACTCAACTGAACAAATACATTTGCTACCACATTACCCTCTGAGAAGATACAAAGAAGATGGATTTTTTGGGGCATCCTTCAATACGGATTATTTGGTCTTAATAAGCTTTCGAAGAAGCCATCCATGCTTCTCCTAAGAGCACAAAACCTAACACAGAAGAAGCAGCAGTTGCCACCAAATCAGCTAGTTCCACGATCACAATTGTAGATATTTTTCTGCCCAAAATAGTATGTACAAATGGATCACCGCTCAACCTGCACATAAAGAACAAACGACCAAACAAGTTAGGAACAGTAGGGAAACTGCTATGACCTGCCACAACCTCAACCAAATCGAAGCCAAGCCGAGGGAAATAAACAAGCAAATTGAAGCAAACAACATCTACTTCCTTGTAATTGCAAAAACTATGAAGTTGTTTACGAAATTACCATGTGCAGTGCCATCAAAGGTTTATTAATCACTTCCAAAATCTTCAAAATGAACACCCTCAGATATTGTATCTAGCCGCCTATTTCCTATTTCTGTTGATAACAAGGAAACCATTAGATAAATTGAGCATTTCAGTACTGCATCAAGAGCAATGTTGATGGAAGGGCAGTGGTTAACCTGTATGTTCTCCAGTGGTAGACTCTGGGAAGTTATTTGCATCGGAAGGGATGAAAGGGGATCGACCATAGTTCTCTAATATTTCTGCACATGAAAGACAGAAGATGCTTTATGTATGCATCACACAATATAAATATATAAAGTAGCAGCAATGTTGAAACGAAAAAACCAAAAATATATAGATCAGCAATATTGCATAGAAGTACCTGCGCTGTGGCTGAAATCCTCTGTCAAATCCGAAAAGCTGAAATTACGAGGAATCTGGCTCAAGAAACCATACGAAAATGAATCCATGTCCAAAATTGGATCGCCTAGCGGTTGTCCATTCAACTCAGAGCTGCTAAAGGATCCACCTGATACATCTCCAACTGACTGCTCTAGGAACACGTTCTCATTGCCGAATCCAAAATCTGAGTTGCTCGAGTAGCCAGACTCTGTCTTTATTGTTGTTCCATTGTGTCCATTAAACTGCCCAACAGTCGAATTATGTGCTGCTAGAAGGCTTGATGAAGCATCCATGCCACCAGGAAGGCCATGAACAACTTTACCAGCATAGATAAATTGGTCATTGGATGGAGCACCATTTACTATACTACTAGAACCTCCATTACGCAACAAGTTATCTTGCATTGCAGTACTGGGGATAGTGTCTGGCAGAAAGGGCACGTTTTGGTTCACTGAGACAGGCAACAATGGACAATATTAGAACTTATTCCTTCCATGGTTACATTTTAGCTGAAAGAGATTATTGTAACTATGTCAGTTAGTACAGATGTATAGCTGCTGAAGAAAAGAAGCTCACATGTGTTAGAGTTTGAGCCATTAGGAGCAGTAGGAGGCATAGAAGGCATCCCAGAAGGATGATCTTTAGTCATAATCTGATACTGCTGCTCAAGGAGCTTATTGAAGGCCACTATTTGATTCATAAGCATCAGCCTCACATAGTATGCCTTAAAAAAATCACGATTCTCTTCCTTGAGTTTCTGCCAGACTGGAGAAAAAGAATGACAGTCAAGTAAATAAACCCAAACGGCCAAACCAAAGAGACCATCTAGTTATTATCTTATAATGACGGGACGAAATTAATGTCTTTGAAAAGTTCCACGAATCAGAAAGGCATTCACAACATCCCATTTCCAAACAAAAAAAGTTAGAGCACAGTGCAAAGCCGCACGTTGATGAATTGATTATAGAACAGAAATTGGCTGAGTGGTGGTCTCAATTTTGCTGCTGCTGAGTCAATGATTCTAGGTCCACAGAGGACATACAAAATGATCATTTTGTTTCTGGTTTATAGATCATGCATAATTGCCCAAGAAAGACTGGGGGTGATAAATTGATGGTCTAATATAAATGGGAAAACAATGCATTCTGAGATTTCATCAACAAAAAATAAAAATATATGAACTAAGCAAGTTAAGTTTTTGTCCCAATAAACAGTATTATTCCCAACAAACAGTATTATTTAGGACAAATCAAAATCAAGCTTTCAAAAAACATATACAATGACATCATCAATTTCAAGGAAAATCAAGCTATTAACAAAAAGACATATACAGGACAAAAAAGGGTTTCCACATCATAATAAGCAATAAAAACATATACAATAAACCATTGTTCCTCCAATTTCAAGGGAAGTTTATGCTAAGTGAATTTACAATAGAAGAGCTCACAGTGTTGTGATCATGATGCGTTATCATTTAAAAAATTGAAATCTTATATCAACTTGTGAAATAAGCTAAGTGCTGATTGAACAGGGAAGTCACTTATGGTAATAGAAGAGAATTACCAAGCTCAGTGAAACTAGGTTCTATTTTTGCCTGGAAAGATAGGGTGTCCACCACTTCTTTCTGGTTCATATATAGCTGAAGGCAACGTTCAATGAGATTCTGGACCTGTAAAACAGTTTTTCCATGAGGCCTTATTGCTTTAAGTATACACTGCAAAAGAAAACTAGCACAAAATCCTACCATGAGGAACAAACAATTCAATCACAGATGAGAGAACAAGAAAAACATATACAGTGGGATTTGTTGATTGTGCACAGAATGTGATAAACGGATGCAGGCACATTTCAGGAACCATAAGGCAGATATCTGTATGTGATAATGCTAGAGGCAAAATGAGAGTGAAAGCAGAAGTTAGACATAGGACACTGACAACGAGTCAACAGGTCTTAAGTGAAAACTGAAAGTTCAACTGAAAGATCCGACATCCAAAAAAGGCAAACGGGCATGTGACAACAGGACAACTACAGTGAAAATTCAGTAGATGACATAACTCAACTTCATCGAACTTCCAAGTAGGCATTCTGCTTTTGCGTAAGACAACACAGAAGCGCACAGTTTCTCCTTTAACACACATCATTATTACAGATACCAAACAGTAGCAGCATCCATAAACTCCCCACTCATTTCTTACCCATGCAAGCCCCTTTCCCCTCCATCCACCTTTGCCTCTTCCTCCCCCTGTTTCTGTCCCATACAAATACAACCCCCTGCTCATGCTCTGATGCTCCTCCCCTCCGGCTCCGTGTTCATGAATCATGACCAGCCGGGACCGGCCCAGCACTAGCGCATGACCATGCAAGCAGAGCCCAAACGAGGGCATGCAACTGTTGCAATAACACAATCATCTGTAACCCTAATCGAGCTCATTTACTTCTCATCAAGCCTATCAGGTAACCAAATATACATATAGCAAAAAAAAACCCGGAAAGCAAGTAAAAAACAAGATGGAAGAGGAGGGCGGGAGGGATCACGGGGGGCGCTCACAAGCTGTATGTCCTGGCGCGAGACCTTGCGGGCGTCCTCCCCACCCGGCATGCCTGACGCCCGTCTCGTTCGTGCCCTGCCCGGCTGCCCTAGCCAAATCTCCCTGCAAGCGACGCCAAGCCAAGGTTATCAAAAAACAAAACGGCACAGCCGCGGACGGCGATTGACCACAACGGGATAACCAACGACGAAACGGAGCAGCAGGAATCGTTCGATCCAGCTGGCACGGGCGCGGGGAATCTCACCTTGAGGCTTGAGCCGAGGGGGCGGGGGCCGGGGGCCGAGGGGGAAGCGGAAGCGGAAGCGGAGCCGGAGCGGCGGAACACGAGAGAGGAACGGCCCGCGCGTTGCGCGCGCGAGTTTGACGGGGTCTCCCTGATGAGGGCTGAGGCGGCGGGGAGGAGGAAGGCGACGGTTCCGGCGATCAGGTGGGGGCGGCGCGCAGTGTGGCAAGGCAAGGGCCGAAACGCGAAGGAAGCAAATGGGGAAACAGCCAAGTTGTCGTTGGTGGGATGCTAAATTGCTAATCCGTCGGCTTATGTCGCTGTTATCCGGTTTAACAAAACGGGGAAGTGGAGGCCTAGTGGGACGGGACGGCCCACTTTTTTGCTTTTTTTTTTAAGTTTTTCACAAATATACTTCTAGAGGAATGCTTTTAAAATCTGGACCTGTTGGTGGCGCCGAGCTTACAAGTCTCGACGCCAAAGGGTTTGGCGTCTAGGTCGGGGCCACGTTGGCGGTGTGGACGCTGACCTGGCAGGCAGCACGGCGTCGGGGTTATTGGCGCCGGGGTTACGCCGTTCTCAGTGCCAAGATCTATGACGCCGAGATGATGTTTTAACCCGACGCTCAACATTTCTGCCCGAGCCTTCTTCCTCTTCTTTCTCCTCTTCTCGGGTTTTTTCTCTCCCCACTTTGCCCTACCTCACGAATTGGTATATTGGACCTTGAAAACTTTGATTTGATCTCGTAGATCTTCGAGAGCAAGGTATCCTCGCTCCCCCCTAGTTTTTTTTCCACATCGATTCAGTATATATTAGTCGGATTTTTTAACTTAAGAATCGTCATTACTTAGGGTTTCATGCAATTTTAATATTTATATTATACAACCGTAGGATGCAGGCGTGAAAAAGCTAGCAAACCAAGGTAACCTCAGTGCACGTTGTTATGTTATGGATTCATTGTTGTGGATAAAATAGGAAACCTTAGGTATATGGTTTAATGTTAATTGCTTTCAGTTCTTAAAACAAAAATGGCTAAATTGTAGTTATGGCGGATGACCGAAAATGCCTTCGACCCATTGCCTCTGCCTAGTGGTGTTCCAGTGCCCATGTGCTTTTGCGGCGATTCTTGCAAGGTAGCCAAGTCCGATGAAGAGGACACGTATAGGCAGAGGTATTGGATGTGTTCCAATTTTACGTTTGAGCCTACATTTCGTCAGCGCCGCATTAACAAGATGGTGAGGAATTGATGTTGTGTAATAATTATTTTGTGTCATATAACATCTTGCATGTTTTTTGTTTTTGTAATAATTGCATTTGTTGCAGATCCCTCCACCGTTCTGTGATTTTGAGCAGTGGATCGACACTGAGATCGAGCCTGAAGACAGAAATAGATGTAGAACTGTTCCGGTGGGAGGCAGATGACAAGGAGATGATGGAGAAGAAACACATAGAGGAGGCTGCAGAAAAGGAGCACAAGGAAGAGGAGGAAAGGAGGCGTGTTGCTGCGTACAGGGAGGAGAGGGAGAAGAAGCTTGAACATGCACGCCGAGCGAAAGCAGCGATGGAGGAGAATCTCGATGCCCTGAGGAAGAGAAAGTGGTCTCGTTGCAATCAGTAGTCTACATTACTTGCTAGTTCTATGGTTTATTCATGAACAATGTTGTCTACTGTTGAACTTTTCATTGTGTTGTCATGTAATGCACTTTAAGTATGGGCATGATTAGGTCATGTACTGCGTTATTTAGTTTGTTGGCACGTACTTATAGTATTATTGTGTTGTTTAATGTGTCATAGTATTGGAATTTTCATTATATAGTTGTTTTCATTATTTGTGATCATAATATTTAGTTTAATATTACAGACGTAGTGAAATGTGATCACGTGCTGCAAACAAAACCTAACGAAGTAGGACATTATATAATTCAACACACACAATACATGAAATGGCATGTGAGAACATGTACCGAACTAGGGTACAGAGGTCCTGAACTAAACATAACATGCCTTAGGTAATTGAAGCGAACAACAAGCACACGAAATGACATGTGAGAACATGTACCAAACAAGGGTACATAGTTCCTTCGACTAAACCTAACATGCCTTAGGTAATTAAACCAAACAACAAACACATGGATGTACCATGTGAATAAGATAGGGTCGTCCTAGTAGTGTGGCCACATAGCAAATTGTGTTGCACCTTCTCCACAGTAGCCTCCCATTGTTGTTGGTGGTGGCGGCGGGGGTGATAGCGGAGGCCCCTTGTTCTTGTGATTAGGGCAGGTGCAATATAGATCATTGCAGAGTGACTCCTGTGAACTTGCACCATTGTTGTTGTCGTTGTCTTCGTCTTCCTTATACCCGCTGCTAACTTCCTTTTGTAGATCGAAGATTTGGTCCTGTAGGTAGTAGACGTACTACTGATGCGGATAAATTGGTCGAGGATCGACCCACCTAGTGAACCCACAGTTTTCTTCGGACTCGGAAGACTTATAATAAGTATGTCCTCTGAATTGTAAGGGTATTCGAGAAACATATTTAACAAACAAAATGTAATAGCAATTACCCATGCTCGTGGGCATTTGAAGAAGCGACGACCTCCGTCGATCCCCTCGGTGAACATCTGTACTAAGCAGTCCTCACCATGCATGCATTTTGGCCAATCTTCCTTCCTGTTATCGTATCCTCTGAGATGGCACTCTTTAGTGAAATCACTCTTGGAGACCAGAAGGAGGCGCCGGGCGCGGTGGAGGGCCGTGGGACGGGGTGGCGAGAGAATCGACCTCTACGCGTCCATACCGGACGTGGAGGACAGAGCAGGCAAGAAGCTTCGCCCAAAGACCGCGGATCGGTAGGGCGTGATGGCCACGGCGGCGGCTGCTGCCGCCACGAAAGCGGGAGCAAATGGTCGGTCGGGCGGGGCAGCTAGCCTAAGCCGCAGCAATGGCCGGACGGAGGCTCGGGCGCGGACGCCGGGCGGCGGGGACGAGCCGCGACACACCAGTGGGTCATGATGGTCAAGGTGGTCATCGGCCGGCGTAGCGCGGCCGGGACAGGGGCGCGGGGTGCAAACGCCAGGCCAGGCCGGGCGGTGGATAGCCGCCGGCCGGCGCATAAGGACAGAGGACAGTAGCAAGGCACGGTGGCGGTAGCGGCGCTGGCGGCGGGAGGCGTCAGGCGTGAGAAAAGAAAGGAAGAGAGGAAAAGAAAAAGAAAGAAGAAGAAGAGAAAGGAAAAGGACTCAATTGTAAGGCCAGCTCGGCGTCAGGATCTATGGCGCCAAACTCGGCGCCAAGATCTACGACGCTAAGTTAGCGCCAAGATCCACGGCGCCGAGCTGGCCGCCATGTCACCCCCGGCTCTACTTTGATGCCGACGTGGCCCCCGACCTAGGCGCCAAAAACCCTTTAGCGCCGAGACGTGTAAGCTCGACGCCACCATCGATGGCGTCGAGTTAAGGGTCCAAATTTTGAAAGCATACCTCTAGAGACATATTTGTGAAAAACTTTCAAAAAAAGAACCAAAAAATAAAAAATTCGGCCGGGACGGGACGGACACCAGATTCTGTGCTCCTCTCCTCTCCTCTCCTTCTCTTCACCTCAGTTGACGGCTGGGACATCCGATCCTTCCCCCTCTGTTTTCCGTGTACTCCCTCCATTTTTAGTGTACTCTCTCCATTCTAAAATATGATCCTTTAGTTATGAATCTTTGGCTTCCCGAAAATAACTTTGACCAAATATATATATAAAATATTAATATTTATATTGTACAAAATTAATATCATTAGATAGATCGTTGAATCTATTTTCATAATAAATTTATTTGGAGATACAAATGTTGCACGTATTTTCTATAAATCCAGTCAAAGTTACAGCACGGAAACAAAAAAAAAGATAGTTATTTAGAAACGGAGCGAGTAGACTAGATATGCATGTCTAGATTCATAACTAGAGGAGAGAGTATTCTAAAAAGGGAAAATTAGTTCTATAGCACCGAAAGATCGCGGTATCCAAAAAATACCATCGAAAATCTGTCCATGCATGAAATAGCACCGAAAGAATGAACCATTTCTGAAAATACCATTACGTCACGTTTTGAGATAGCTCAGTGAACTCCGCGTCACTATGGTCACAACCCCAGGCAACCTCGCATTTGCGCTGCGCCGCCTCCCGGCATACATCGGCCTCATGGCGCTCCCGTTCCCCAGCAACCCGGAGCCACTCGCTCTTCCCGGCGTTCCTACACGCCACGACGCTGCTACGGGATCCCTTCGCGGGGAACCTGGCCTCCCTCCTCTCGCCGTTGCTCGCGCTGTTGTCCGCCTTCTCCCTGGCGCTCTGCTTCTCCCTCGCGACCTGCAGGCCGCCCCCGCCCGAGAGCATCCAGGATGGCGCCCCCTTCCGCGTCCCAGGGTTCCCGGAGAGCATCACGCTCACCATGGACGAGGTCCCGGTGACACGATTCTTGTTCGACGACCTCGAGTCATTCTACCTCTCCGCGCCTGGCTAGTTGGCCCGCTGTTCCTCGCCACCGGCGAGTCGCCGAAAGGCGGCGGCGACAAGGACGAGGACCCCGAAGGGTGCCTTGCGTGGCTCGACGAGCGGCAGTTCGGGTCAGTGGTGTACATGTCGTTCGATAGGCAGGTCCACGTCACCGTGGCACATCTCGAGGAGCTCGCACACGGGATGGTGGACTCCGGCGGCCTTGGCGAGCGGCGCCTCCATCTCCTCGACGCAACCGATGCGCGCGTCGGCCTCGTCACGGAGCCTGCGCACGCCGCCGATGACGTGCACGGGAGCGTGGTGCTTTAGCCAGCGCGTGATATCCATCCGGCGCGACAATTGCGCAGCAGCCAGGGTGATGTTCCCAGCCAGCGGGGAGCGTGACGCCGGCGGCGTGCCGAAGCGCCTCCGACGACCCGCCACGGCGCGAGCTCCCGTGACGAAGGCTGGGTGTGCGGGCGAGGCCTCGAAGAGCGGCGGCGGCGGCTTGACGCCCGGCGTAGGCGCTTCGGCGGTGGAGCGCGGTCTTGCACACCGCGGCAGCAGCTCTCCGCGCAGGCTCGCCGCCACCGCCGGTCATCGCCGTAGCTAGTAGCTCGGACTGAGCTCCTCGTCGACTTCCTCTATCTCTATCGCCGCCCTCGGCTCCTTTTCCTCCTGTCTGTCACCGCGTTCACACGGAAGAGAGGGGTAGAGCTGCTCCTGGTGGGTCTCCCGTCTCCGCCATAGATTGACGTATGGATGGCCCCTACATGCCAAAGAGATTGGTGAGGGTGGGAAGAGGATGACGAGTGGGACCATCCTCTCTCAGTGAAGTGCAGTGAGCGTGAGGTGGACGCCGTAGACAACCAGTTAACATAATGCTAGATTTTGGAACGGATTATTACTTTCAATGGTATTTTACGTAACGGCAAACTTTCGATGGTATTTTCCGGATGTCGTGATCTTTCGATGGTATAGAACCAATTTTCCTTCTAAAATACCAATTTTCCCTTCTAAAATACATGATCCTTTGGCTATGAATTTGGACTGGACATGCTTGTCTAGATTCATACCTAGAACTAGAAGGTTATCAATTTAGGAATGGAGAGAGTATAGCATCAAATCGGTATGACAATCCCCGTTTTTCTACCTACTGTGTCTACGTTTACTTTCACGAGTTAATTACATTATCCAAAACATTATCATCACCCATAATGGTTAATGGCCAGCTGTGCTTTTGGTCATTGGACGATTGGGGCCTATATTAATAGGGATTTCACGTTTTTAAAGAAAATCAAATTAGCCATCATCTATAATCATTATCCATCATCCATAATCATGGAGGGCTTGTATAGGACAAGAACGTAGCTTTCAAACCTCCAAAACAATGTCTCCACGGATCAGCAAGGATGATTGATCCAATGACAGCAATGGCTCCAAGGCCTGAAGCAACGCATTTGCAGATAAGCATATAACCATCTTTAGATAAAACTGATATGGGAGTACAGGTGTAAGTGTATATCATCTGAGGTTGTCTCGATAGCATCTATTCTCATCTCAGCCACAAGACAAGTTTCGCTGCACACTCTTCGCACAACAAAATCTGCATATTTTTGTACCAAATACAAATGCTTATATAAACAGTGCCAACCATTGCCACCTACAATACAGTACTTGCATGCCTATTCCTGCCTCCTGTCATCAGATTCTGCCACATCAGCAGTCCTAATCTCTTGTCTGGTACCAACAGAAACAAAAAAACTTCCCAGAAACTTGGAAGCAACTTGCAACCTGTTGATAATAAGCTTCAAAAACGGAGAATCCAAAGGTAGACGCTGAGGATTACAATTACTCGAACACATCAGACCACAGGTCATACGACATGGCGGGCGTGCAACTGTGCAAGGTTCAATCAGCCGTCGGCTCGACGTCCATGCAGAGATGAACCAGTTTCTGCTGGTACTGCCCGAAGACCTCACTGACTGCAATCAGGTCCTCGTCGGCCACATTCTTGGAAGGGAACCGGAGCTTCTCGGTCTGCTCCGGCGTCAGTGCTAACCTGGAAGTGTCGTCCTCGGCCTCTGATTCTGATAAGATTTGTGAGTAGGTCTCATGGCAGGCTAGCAAGAACATGGCTGCGATATCTGGGCGCTGGTTCTTGCGGAGTGTATCCAAAGCCTCTGGCAGTGCTCCAGCAGCAACGTATAGTATAAGAGCTCTATAGAAAATGCAACCACTGTGTTAGTACCACCAAGAGAGAAAAACAATCGAATCTTGTTACTTGTTAGCTGTTCAGGGTCATTTTTTACCTCCACATATTATGCTCGCCACGAAGAACATAATCAGCCCACCTCTGCAGTACCCTGCACAAATCAAGCATCTTTAGTACAAATTACAAAACAAAAGGTTCTTTACTGGCCGGCTTCAGAAATAGCAAAGCTACATTTGGGCTTCACCCAGTTCTGCAAAAAAAGATGAGGGCCCATTGGTCTGCGGTTCCAGTTTGGCCCAAGAAAAAAATTATATCAACCAAATATCAGCACCCTGTTCGTTTGGGCTGGTTTGGCTTATAAGCCATGGCTAAAAGTATTGTTGGCTGGTTTGGTGTGAGAGAAAAATATTGTTCGTTGGCTGATAAGCCATGTCTTATAAGCCAGATACGAGCAAGCGAACAAGCTGCAGGTTGTTAGCTACACTGATGACTAGATCATAAATTTGATGCCACCAGCTTTTTAATTTACTTTCATATTCCATTCAGCTTAGTTGTGAAATTCACAAAATCACAACCATGGGTGGATAGGCTAAGCAATATATTGATTAAATAAGTTGAAACTTGAAAGACAAAACCAAGGCGGTTTTTGTAAGTACTTTAGGGAGCACAATATTCATCCTTTCAGATATAATAAATTGGCATAGTTGAATTATACCTTGCATAGTCAGATCCTTGCAAATGGCTTGCGGCCAAAGTAGCTGCATCATTCCAGCACCCAGCATCTTGAAGCTGAAACAGAACCAGAAGGTTATGTGGTTGGACCCATATTCAGTTCGATTCACATTGCGCTCAATAAAATTTAGGAAAGCAAATATTGCAATAATAAAAAACGATCCTTTGAAATGATACAACTTTGAAGGGCATATTAATTGGAAAAAAGGAAGCATTCTGTAAATGTGGATTGATTATTATTGTCTCTAAATCCCAGCTATCACTGAAAAAGTGAAAAATAATGCCTCATTATTTAACAAATATTTTGTCAGCCAAACTAAGAGGAAGCAATTTGGTCATATTTGATCTTTCAAAGCTAAAAGCCATCATCCTTTTCAGGTCTAGCTCATCATTTACGCTACATCTAGAGATGACAATGACACTACTAGAGGTCTTCTCAATAATTATTAAAATTGTAATTATCCACCACAGTTTTACATATAGAGATGGCAGTGATTTAGTGGAGTTCCTGCACCAGAGTGTCATAGTTCTATCTGCACCATGTGACTTACAAAACTTAATAAATACTCTGGCCGTTCCAAATTGTAAGTTGTTTTAGCTTTTCTAGATATATAGTTTTAGAACGCATATCTAGGTGCATAGCAAAAAACTCTGTATCTAGAAAAGCCAAAACGGCTTAAAACTTGGAATGGAGTACAACTTTGCTGTTCTATAATATGCCATATAGCCATTACATAAATAATCAAATAACTAGCTTATAACCCACATATCATGCTGATCGTCCATTGCATACATCAATTGAAAGAGGAAGTCGACAGTGACATAAAGAGCCTTAACCAGAGCTACTTAGAAAACTAATTGACTGCAAGAACATGCTCATATAAGGTAAGAAATTTAATACTGAGAAGGCAAAGGTAATTTGTATTTGTTAACATTCTATATTTATTAGAACAACACCATGGTACATTATTTCATATCTGATAAGTAAATATGGAGAATGGACAGAGAAAAGAGCTTGACTTTTTTTTTCTGGATTCTTTGGAACCATCGTAATCATTGTGTTTTTTATGGAGTGGCTCCAAGTGTTGCTGGGGCTTTAGTCGTGGCTGGTGAGGAACGCCGGTTGTGGACCACGGCAGGGGCTCGAGGGCTTTCCCTCTTGTCAGCCCATCTCCCAGGCGATTAGTTATTTGGGACTGTGCGGGTCGCCTTGCAGCCAGCTTAGGTGCGTCGGTGCTTTGGCTGCAACAGCGTGTGCTGTGTGAGTGCGTTAGGTTTGGGTGTGTGTTGTAAGTGTGGGGTTCTTATACCCTTTTTCTTCTTAATACAATGAGACGCGTATCTCCTGCGTTTTTCGAAAAAAAAGAGCTTGACTCTCTTGCGTGTTCAAGGAAAGAAAAGAAAAGAGCATGATTGATTAAACCAAACGTAAGAATAGTACCTGTGAACATGCTTCCTGATATCTTCCAACAGCACAGAGAAGATGCGTGCCAGACAGCGATTTGTCCGTTCTAACCATATTGGCTGCAACAACCTACATAAGATCATTACTTAGAAAAGACCACCCTCTGCACAAAAATATCTATCACCATGGCATTTATCAAAAATGTGATCCTAACAGACTAAGTGTTAATATAACACAAAAGGTATAAAGGATTAACCGACTAATAGTTAATGAGGATCAAGGATGCTAGTGTGGTGTAAAGTACTTATGTTTAATTTATGTTGATGGATACGCTGTAGAGAACACTTAGTGTTTGCATTTTGCCATTGAGAACACAACTGGCACTGTAATGTTTGCACCCTACAATTGGGAAATGAATAATGCATTCTACTATTCCCTTTGAGCTTTGAGATCTATTCTAGTTTATAATTCTGAGCGTTTGAGAAATATATCTAACTTAAACTGATATCTGTTTTTTTAGGGGAATACAATAGGGGAAACCCCTACTGTGGTAGTAGATATATTAATATGTAAAAGAGTTAGCAATCATTCCTATGCTATTAGCTTGTCACAAATATCAATAAATTTGAATAGACCCATATCAAAATTCAAAAGATTTGATTGCCATGCATACAAACCGCCCTTCTTTTCTAACAAAGATAAATAAGCATGCAAAATGTCTTTTAGTATTGACCTTTAACGCGCTTGCCCCCTAATAGTGATCAGAGTTATACACTGTGTAGTCCTAAAAAAATGTACTGAAGAATGTTTATTTTAAAGATGCTCACCTTCACTGCAAGTTCATGCAAAGATTGTGAGACTGCAGATGACAGCACAACTGCTCTTAATGCATTTGGGTAAAAATTTGATCCTTCAGGGGGCGTTGAAAGTAACAGTGAGACCGCAGCTTCTAAGTTCCCAAGAGAGACAAGCCTGTGTTCGTAGAATATGATAAACATGAGGCACAGGTAATTACCAAGATATATATTACTGATGAACAAGTTTGAAATAATTGATTCTTACTCATGAACACGTTTTTGCAAAGCCTCTTCACCATCGAGCTTATCATGCCAAGGTATCCTTTCATTTGCATTGAACCATAGTTGCTCTTGCTTAAATGCCATTGAACTTAATTGCCCACAATTCTGCACAAAGATTAAACTTCTAAATTCAAGAGAATAGACATATTTATACAGAGTTAAAACCATGCACTCGTGCAGTGTTGAAGTACAGCGCATCAGATTCAACGATTACCGCAGCATTTTTTGTGAACTTTCCGGAAACAGATCTCTCTCTTGAAGTTATCCGATTAAATGTAGAGCCTTGTTCAGAATCAGGATGTAAACTTGATTGTGAGATCTTCTCTCTTGATCTACTTGTTGATTTATCCAGGAAGTGGTGAAGAGCTTGAGGCAGCTGTAGCCAGAAAAGTGCTTCTTGGAAATCACCAAAAATTGCAGCAGCAAATGCAAACCTTGCACAAGCTCCCTTGTTCACTATAGCTGAATATAATCTGGCTCTTCCATCATCAAGAATGCAACCTTCCCAAAAAAAGTAGTGTCAATATGCCAAATCATCTACTGGGGGAAAAAATTAAGTTGTTGCTGACATACCCTCCTTTCTGTACGGTTCCAACACTTTAAGGAGCAATTCTGCCACAACAACATCACCAATTGGAGGGAGTGTTGTCTCAATCATGTAACTACGAAGATCTCCAAATGCTGGTGTTACCTTAAAGCTGTCCCCAGCTAATTTATCATTATTATTGCATTCAAACCAAGAAGGCTTCACCCCAAGTTGCAGAATCATACGCAGAGCCTAGGATCACATAAAAAGCACAAGTTGCTGAGTGTTTGTGGTTCAGAATTTGATCTTTTGTAAGGACAAAATGCCATGCCCATGACCCCAGGAAACTAATCATAATAATGATTCATGAAAAACCTGCAGCTACTTTCCCTCTTAATGAAAGATGTACATGAGCACGATCACTAAGAGGAAAACCCTGCATCGACTGACTTTACATTTTAGGAAGGTGATTGATAACTGGTAGAATTACTTATAAAATGACTCTTTGTGAAGAGAAGAATATAAATAAATATATCCATGCGCCAGAGTTCATGCATAATAATAATATAAATAAAAATACAAATCTTTAAATATAATATGCACCTTACCAAAGCATGGGCCGTTGGAAATAATACTGGCAAACAAAATGGCATTGGCCTAAACCTCTCTTTCGTAGCTACTGGCTTTGAAATGGAACTGCCCTTGGTATCACTGGTGAAATAAAAAGGAAAATAAAAACATTCCACATGTAAATTTTCTGAAAGGGGAAAATAGAGCATTAGAAATAAGGTCATCAGCCACATCAAACAAACTAAATAAGGTCTAAAGCATCAAAGAACGGTGTCAAACCGTTTTTAAGTTAAGAGAGTACTTTATGGTTACAGAAGATAGAAAAAAGGACGGAAAGGATTAACAGGTGGGAGAATTAGGTGGAAAAGAAATAACTTTCCTACCATAGTGACCTATCATGTTGACACTTGACAATAATATTTGTGAATTGTGAGGAGATATAATTTTCTTCGAATCAATTTCTTAATTTGTTTCAGTTTAGTGCTCAAAGCTTTTTCCCATTATTCTTACATTTATGTAGTTCTTTTTTTAGTGTTACATGTTGGAAAGCTCTTTAGAATAACAAATAGGAAAGATTATATTCAGCATACAGCTCAACGAACTCAGTGTAATACAACTAGATTATAATATAATCAGCGAGTTAAAGAAGCAAGCTCATATTCTTCCTTCTCTGAGCTCATAAGCATGCTGCAGGAGATGATTGCCTTATAGATGCAGTAATAAATAATAACACACCTTAACAGGTCAAGTTTCATTTATAGATATCAAATAGAGTTCCAGTACAGAAACATATTTAAATCTAAACAATAAACAGAGTAACTCTACACTGGAATTAGAACTATTACATGCATGATTAAAATGACATACATGTTAACCTCAATCAGTCGGAAGCTACTATCAGCTCCGGCAATGCATAACATAAGTGGCTCATCCTTCGTTGTTCGGGTTGACAACCAATCAAGCTCCAAGACAAGGGTACCAGGAGATTGCGGTTGAAGAAGGGCATTCGCCAAGGGGTCTGGACTATCCTAAAACATAGTTCATGAAGTCAGTACCATATGAGACAGTTGCATATTCCTGCTGAAACATAAAAGGACAGCAATATTGGAAACAAACAATAAATCATGCATGAATTACATTGAGTAATAAGGATGTAAGAAGAATGCAACCAAGCATCATCTGATAAAACAATATTAGGGCAGTCCTACACAATCAATTTTTTTTAATCAAATGACAAGTGGTTGCTATATATCAATATCGAAAATATATGCAACAGGGTGATCGATATAACATCATTTAGAATCAAACATTGAAATCCAATAGCGCAAAACCATATTCCATGGGTATTATGCACGAGATCTAGAAGAACTGAAGATAATACTTACCAGGTCAAATATCGAAAATGTATTATCATAGAAAAGCACAGCGATGCGCCCTCTGCTTCGATCACCATGAACAACAGGAGAAAACTTTATCCTCCTGATGCCTTCCCTGTGAGTGCTAAAAGAAGAAGAAAGGCCTGTTGTAACATCCCACCATCTAATGTTGCCTGATCGATCCCCCATTACCTATAAGATAATAGCATCTCATCAGAGTGTCCCAAAGAAAACCTGCCTTGCAGATAAAAAAATATTGTAAATGGAAGTATGGACCTTATAATAGAAACACAATGCTAAAATATACATACAACATGGGGAAGGCGATAAGCCATAGCAGTAACCAAACCATCTGAAGATGCAAATGATGATGAGGGCCACTTTGGCCTGCAAAACAGAAATGAAGGCCATGTGCATCACAATGATGATGATAATGTTTAACTTAAAATAAACTGCAGAATGCATAAAGCAGAAAGTCCAAATGCTTCATTTCTAGTCTTGCTACGTTAAATTTCATAGTTACACTCAGTCTCATCCGAAATCACAAAGTGTATATAATCATTAGCTTTTTTAGATACTGTCATTCCTCAAATACCAAAGCTAATCATGTTTTTCTTACGTCTCATTCTAAATGCGCCAAACATCTCCCACCTGGCTTAATGAAGCCAAGGGAATAGGCATCATTTGGGCAAGTACCAGCACATTGCATGATTTTATCACTTGTAAATTGTAATCAATATACACACAAAAAAACAAATGCCACGTTTCTGTTTCCTGCATTAAAAGTGGAAAAACAGAAAAGAAAAAAAGAACATCATTTTATGGTTGCTAAATTAAACAGCTAGAGGTAGCCGCAGGCATATCATTTTTTTTTCCCAAATACATAAGAGCTGTGTACTGTTCTGAGCCTGGTAATACATACTATGTTTACTGTTCTGAGCCTGATAATACATATCACATTTTTTTGGTCTATCAAAAAGAGTGATGTACCGATGCTAATGCTCTAGTGGAACAAAGTTGATGACTATATATAAATCAGATGGTGCATATCTAATGACAAATGCTAGAGAAAATGGATATTGTATGTCTTCTGATGAAAGCTGCATTTGATTCTACTTTAATTGCTGAAAGCTACAAGGACAGAAACTGGAGTACCTAAAATCTCGTATTCGCCGCCCGTGCACTTCAAACACACCAAGAGCACCATTGACTAATGCAAAAGCAAAACTTTCACATGTTTCATCAGAATTTTCTGCACCAGAAGCCTCTGCAGACAAAAATAGATCATGTCATCTAACAATATAGTCAGTGAATGTTTGGTCAAAAAGATCCTGATAAGAGTTGAAGAATTTCTCCTTAATAATAAACTGATTAAGAAGGCAATCTATCCAGTCTATATAGTTTTGCTAGTGAATGAAAATTACACCTATTGATCGCTCCTTGGAGGTTGAAGACTGCTTAGATGATGCATTTTGACCTGGCCGAGGTGCAGCTGGCAGTGTCCACTCTAATACTGTAAAAGGAAGTGCCAAGGACCTAAGCTACAAGTGCAGAACAATTATGAATACCATGCTTCTTTCGCCAACTGAAAGAACTGATTTGAATGTATAATATAAAACAACAAAATGGAGGCCATTTTAAGAAGAGTAACTAATAACTGTAACTCAGCCTTCTTTCTGGCAGACAGTAGCTGAACTTACATTTCAGGCTAAAATAACTTTTGATTCCCATTGTCACCTTGAAGAACAACGTTTAGCACAAACCAATTGCTCATTGCAACAGTCAATGTGGTAACATAAGGCTTTGTTTTTTCTTAGAAGAACAAGTTCATAAAAATTTTCATCTCAACTGTCAACAGTCATTTCTTTCCATAATTGCATAAATACACGCAAAGGAAGTAGTACCATCATTGGGTTCTTTGTCATGGCCCACACTTCAACAGGAGCATCGCGAAACAGAATCAGAAGGTACCTGAGAAAGAATATTATGCTTGAGAAATCAGAACAAACGTAGTACTGGTACATATGCATAGTTTAGAAACATATAGCTGACCGTCCAGAGGAAGAAGCCCTCAATGCTCTAATTGGTGCACGTTCAGGCTTTTGGAGCACACGGAATGAGCGATTTAGCCCACTTCTTAAGCATGTAATAACAAGCTTATTATTGTATCCACCAGTTTTATCACTAACCTGCAGTAGTCAAAGTGTCAAACCAATGAGAGAAGTAACATGCCGGCACACTGAAAACCATCAAGTTATACAAGAACGCATAAAGTTACAATGATGAAACATAAGCGCAAACTGAATGAAGCCAACAAGTACCTAAATTAAGGAAAACATCATAATAGTTTTGATTGCCAAAAGTAACCTAGCAGTCTCATTGACAAATTACAGAAACACTTTATTGCAATCACAATTCACAATATACAAGAGTTAAAACTATCAGAACATGGAGGCACCTGATTATATGAGAATGAAACAAGACGTGAGTTTCCAAGCCATCTCAATCCCCTCACTGTGCTGCTATGAACGGAAAAGCTGACTGAAACTGCATCGGCCACAACATCTACAACTTCAATAGTTCCATTCTGAGTCCCCAGAGCAACAAGTGGCACTGCTGGAGCAGGATTGTTTCCACCACCTTCAGATAGGAAATATTTGGATGTGTGAAATTTGATGGCTAGAAATAATTCAGAACATAAAGCAAGGGGTATTGTGGCTATGAAGGACATACGAGCTACTGTGGCAAGCAATGAAGGGGACGGCACTGCTAGTGTAGTGACAGTAGATGACAAAAGATGAAGCTGGCCCATCAAATTAATCTGCAGGGCATAATGAATATGAGCGAAGTAGAGTAGGAAGACATAACACAGGAGGGTATAGACACTAGAATTACACAAGGCCAAAATTTAGGCCCTATTTGGCACGGCTCCAAACGGCTCTGACTCCTTGCCACAGTGCCGAAGGAGCCAGAGCCGGTGAAGCCAAAAAATAGTGGCTTCACCGGCTCCTAACAACGGCGCACGGAGGAGTCAGAGCCGGCCGAAGATCCTGGCATAAGGGTATGAATTAATCATTACCCTTGTGATACCCACTGGACTATTGATCCTACTTCTTAATCATGGCAATTATCTATTATTGACAACAAAGAGAAATAGTTTCATGCTGTAACCTTTATTGTAAAATCAGGTCTATTGGAGGATGTGTTGGCAGTTGCAGCATTGCTATGGCTCGGTCTACCTGGTTCCTTCCCAATATTAGTGACAGAAACGGAAACATTACTACATTAGTAGGTTTAACAATTGATTGAATAGATAATTAGATTTGCACTGGAATGACCACGTAGATTTGCACCTAGATTAGCTTTGTTAGGATGTGAAGACTTGTCAGATTTCAAAAGCCACGACCAGATCTTGCCATCTTCTGATATCGACGTTAGATATGTCATAGTCCCATTACAAGCATTCTGGTCTGAATTGGTATCAGTCATGAAAGAATATGTTTGTGCCAAATCCTGACATTGTTTGTCAATGTTTCGGAAAATAGACTCTGACTGCCATATTGTAGCTGCAAGAACAGCCGGAGAAGGAACAACAGTACCAATTGAAGGCATTAGCTCTTCCACAGCACATAATAAATGCACTTGTTCACCCCTGCAACCAAACATTAAAGGAGAAAATCAAAATATTTGAAAACGGCAATGCTAGCATGTAATAAATGTACGGATATACTGAAACTATACATATGTTGGTGCATAGAATTGTTAAAACACGAATGTCAATATACAGATGGTATTGCTCAGTTTCAAGGAAACATACATAGAGTAATGGCCACGACACATAAAATGCATGGTTCCTAGAACCATATGTCTTTCCATTTAATGGGGTTCATTTTGATGGGAAAGGAAAAGCTTTCCTTATTGAGTAGTGTGCACACACAAACTGACTGTAAATTCATTTATAAATGTTCCAATTTTTGTCAGCACACTCCTGAGGTTTGTCGTGTAGTGTTTACTAATTGTTGCATTGAATCCTGTGTTTCTTTTCTCTGCATCCAGACTAGGGCACTGATAGCGTTTTTATACAGCTCAAATGCAAACCAGAAATGTCTATCATCACATTTTGGGCACTCAGTAAGCTCTAATTTATGTGCATGTGTTTTGTCGAACTTTAATCCAACACTACCCACATAAACAGTAGGACTGCAAACTCACTCCTTACGCCTCCAGATGCTCAGCTTGCCGTCGATATGAGTGCAATAGAGCATGTCGAGATCAGGATCGGCCATAACATCCGAGAACTTGCCAAACCCCCTGGGCAATGGGGTAACAGAAAGCGCAGTGCTGTAGCTGAGGTCAAAGACGATGAGCTCCCGCGGGAAGGTGACGAAGAGGATATGCCTCCACAGCGGGGAGAAGCACATTCTCGAGGCAAAGAGCGGGAACGCCGCCAGCGCCGGGGCCGGTGCAGGTGCCGATATCTCCTTCTCCAGCTTCTGCAGGTCGGCGACATCCCCTGCACCGCAGTTCACCCGGTGCTCCTGCAGCGAGATGTCGGAGTCCTGCCTGGGAAAGGCGGAGAGGAGGAAGCCGCGGAGGCCGATCGCGCAGAGGTGCCTGGCGTCGAAGGGGTCGCGGCGGAGGCAGGAGAGGTACTCGGGCGCCGCGTCGAACATCCAGAGGACGCGCGGGGTGTTGGACGTCTCCCAGATGCAGAGCAGCGAGGGCCCGTGGATGGAGGCGAGGAGCCAGCCGGAGCCGTGGTGGACCCAGCAGAGGTCCTGCACCCCGCCGCCGGAGCCTGGAGCGACGCTGCGCGCCTCGTCGAGGTTGAGCCAGTGGAGCACGGCCCGCGCGCGGGCGTCCCAGACGGCGATGCGGCCGTGGCGGTCCCCCGCGGCGAGGCGGAGGGGGCGGCGGTCGTCGTCGTCGTCGTCAAGGGAGGGCGTGGCGGGGGGCGCCCAGCGGACAGCGGTGACGAAGGAGGCGAGGGAGGAGGAGGGCATGGGGAGCACGCAGAGGAGCTGCATGGAGCGCGGGTCGGACACGACGACGCTGCTCCCGGCGCCGTGCGCCAGGAGGCCCGTGGGGCTGAGGTCGATGCAGCCGCCGTTGCCGCGCCCCGGCGGGCCCGGGAGCATCATCGCCGTGGAGCTGCTGCCGGCGCCCGCCGCATTGCCGTGCGATCGCGACGACGGGGAGGCTGGCGGCGCCACGGAGGAGGCCATCTCGTGGAAGGCTGCCGTGAGGGGGCGGGCCTCTGGCGAGGCGCTTTCTCTCAGATCTCTTCGCGTATCACCGTCTCAGATTGGGAATTGAACAGGGGTCTCGTGTCTTCTCTCGGTCGCTCCTCTTCACCCGTGGAAGGAGGGCGGAAGGGAGCCGGAAAGGAAGACTCGTACGGTCTGTCGGGCCGCGGAGATCCGAGATCTGATCTCACCCGTCGCAATTGAACCGCAAGGTGCTTTGAGATTCGGGCCGTCCTGATGGGATGTGGCTCCTACGTGACAGCAGCACGCGCGTGGCAAATGCGTGCTCCCGTTGAAGTTCCGGTATTTTTTTTTATAGAAATGTTATTTAACACTCATTTTTCTCTTCTCTTCTTCTCTTTCTTCTTCAACTCCGACAGGCTTAGAAATGGCACAGGAGAGGCCAGGTCAAGGCGAGGGCATCCATGGCCATGGCGGTGGTGAGAGAGGGGGAGGGAAAGACAGGGGTCACCATGGGCAGTAGGTCTCACTGGAGCTCCATGGCCATGGCCACGGCCGCGGCTGCGGAGCTCTGGCGAGGCAGTGGGCGGCGGCGGCACAGCGAGAGGAGGAAGAAGGTACAAAGAAAAAAATCGAGTGTTGAAAAAAACCTAAAACACGCGAGTGTTGTGTAGACGCATCATTTTTTTATTGCTGAGTGAAGTAATTTTGGGTGAAAGCTTAAAAACTCCAATGCAAGTGATATATCTTGCAACTTTACCTATGACTTTTTTATTTTGAAAATTATGACTTGGTTCGGTTTGACAGGAACTTCAAGGAAATTGAAGAGGGTTCTAGATTAAATTCCATACAAAGTTAAAATTCTCCGTATCCCCTTCTGTCTTCCTGAGGAAGGGGACTAATCGAACGTGGCTTTAAGATTTGGCAATTAAAATTGGTCCGATAACTTTATTGATTTTTTTTGAGGAAATTGTGTTTGTGCCCTCGTTTTCACCTTCAACTGCACGGTTGCCCCTCTTTTCTTTAGTTTGCAGATTTGCCCTCCTTCTGTTACATGCAGCCTTCCATTTGCCCCGCTCGTCACACGGACCAGTTGTGGGCTAATATTACTCTAGTATCCCTTCCTTATCTCTTCCCATCTCTTCGTTTATCCACCGTATCAGCCGCACAAAAGCCACATGGACGCATCCTTCGTGCGGGCGGAAGAGCAAGGCGACCATGTGAAGTGACGACTGGCAAGGCCGCGGCCGAGGGCCTCTTGACGTCTGGCCGCCAAATAAGCGGGCGAAGCAAGGCTGCCGGCGGGGCGTCATGGGCGGATCGCCAGGCGACGGGCGGATGACGAACTAAGCAAGAGCGGCGAACGCGGCCGGCGATCTACTCCAAATGATGGTGGAATTGCTTCCTCGAGAGATTGTGTAAGCTCTTCAGCCTCTGCACTTACCTGGCTGTGCAATTTCGCTTTCTTTGGAGATTTAGGGTTTTCAGCACTTACCTGGCTGTGCAATTTCGCTTTCTTTGGACATTTAGGGTTTTTAGTTTACTATAATCATACGATGTGATGTGTAGGCGTTCGTTAGAGGATGCTTCTATTGAGATTAGAACTGATGACAAGCTTTTAGAATGGTTTGGAAATTACCAAGAGAACGGAACAATGCACATTGATGCGCAGATCAATGAGTTTGGCGGTACAATCGCAGCTCTCACCCACGAAAGGGAAGAAGCCCAATAGGAAAGACACACATGTCGATGAAGAGGCGCTTGGAGTTGATGAGGAGGAAAAATACTCTACAATCGAATCACTTGTTGCACTTAGTGACAGTAGCTATGACAGTGGCTTGGCTGCATCTTCTAACTCTAATTTCTCTGATCTTGAGTTACCTGATGATGAAATAGTTGAAGAGGATGACGAAGATGATATTCCTGTCTTCTCTTTTGATGTTGATGCTCCATGTGTCGATATAGGTGTGGTATTTCCTGATGTGAATCAGTGCAAATCAGCGTTAACTCAGCATGCAATCTTGAATGATTATGCTTTTCGTACTATGAAGAAAGACAAGAAGCAATTTCGAGCCAAGTGCTTGAGAGTGCATAAGGGCTGCAAGTGGATTTTTTTTTGCATCTACCAGCAAGAAATCCCCTGGATGCAAGGTACTAGCGGCTCAAGTGGATTATATTTTTTTCTTTTCTAGACATAAATGTCCAGTAGTAAATAAAACAGTCCATGTCTTTTTGTGCAGGTTTAGATGAATGGGCCAATTCACAAGTGTGGTTCAGTCAACACCTGTGGTGACACAATGGCCACAAGTAATTGGGTAGCTGAAAGGGTGATTAACTGGTTGACGGATGACCCAACAATGGGACCAATGGATTTACAAAAAAAGTTGAATAAGAAGTATAAAATGAAAATTCCTTATGATATAGTTTTTAGGGGCAAAGAGAAGGCTCTTGATATAATATTTGGAAAGTGGGATGATAGTTGTGACTTGCTGCCCACTTATAGGGCTGAACTATTGAAATCAGTCCTTGGAAGTATTGTTGAGATTGATACTGAAATACATCAAGGGGATGTGTGTTTCATGAGATTTTTTGTTGCTCTTAAACCATGCATTGATGGGTTTCTCCAAGGATGCAGACCATACATTTCCATTGATGCCACCCACCTAACAGGAAGGTCCAGAGGTCAGTTGGCGGCTGCTGTTGCATTAGATGGGCATAATGGGCTATTTCCAGTTGCTTATGGTGTTATTGAAACTGAGTCAACGGAAAGCTGGACATGGTTTTTACAGAATTTGAAGCTTGCTATTGGCATGCCTACTGGTTTGGTTATCAGCACAGATGCAGGTAAAGGACTTGGTGTAGCTGTAAAAGATGTATATCCAGGAGTGGAACATAGAGAATGTATGAGGTATTTGTGGAAAAAATTCAAGAAGCATTATTATGGTGATTTATTTAATTATAACATGTGGCCGACCGCCAAGGCTTGCACCATTGAGAAGTTCAATTATCACATGGGCAGGATACAGGAGAAGTGCCCTGAAGCAATAGCATACTTAAATTTGAATCATCCCTACTTGTGGAGTAGAAGTAAATTTTCTGATCATTCCAAGGTAGACTACATCAACAATAACCTCTTAGAATCTTTCAACAATTGGGTGAAGAATGTCAAGGACCTGCAGATTATTGAGATGCGTGACAAGATAAGGCAAATGATAATAACAAAGTTTGAATTGAGAAAAAAGATAGCTATGTCGATGAAGGGCACAATTATCCCAGCTGTTACCAAGGCTCTTACTGCTCAAAGCAAAGCTATCAAGGATTGTGAAGTTCTAAAATGTGCAAATGGCATTGCTGAAGTAACTGCACCTACTAAATCAGGAGCATCTTTTAGGTATGCAGTGAACTTGGTGTTGAAGACATGCAGCTGTAGGGCATGGCAAGTGAGTGGAAAGCCTTGTAGACATGCTTTAGCATTTATTGTAAAACTTACTAGAGAGGTACAAATGTAGGACTTTGTCGATGAATACTTCTCTGTTGACAAGTTTAGAAAGACATATTCAGGTGTGTTTAATCCAATGGCTTCCAAACATTTCTGGCCATGTGTGAATCTAGGATACAAAATCAAGAAGCCAAAATTGAGGAGAAAGCCTGGAAGGCCAAGGAAATATAGGATCAAAGCATCAGATGAGCCTGGTGCTAACAATAGGAGGAGGTGTCCTGAATGTCATGAGCCAGGCCATACAGCCAAAAAGTGTCAAGGAGGTCTAACTGCTAGAGAGAAAAAGAGGCTTTTATCTACTGAGAATGCATTTGGGGAAGGAAGTGATGAGCCGAGGACTGCACGTGCATCACAAACAAGGCGTAGGGGTATAACTAGGACTGCACATGCATCACAAACAAGGTGTTGATCTGTATTTATTCAGTTTGTAATATTTTTGGCAGTGCAAACATTCAGTTTATAGTTATCTCACTACTGGTGCAATTTTTCTCTCTTTTTAAGTGCTACTGAAGTCAGATGGTAGAAGAAACACCACCAACTAGGACAGGCAGAGGAAGAGGAAGAGGTGTTTTGAAAGGACCTAGGATGTCGCCTAGAGGGGGGGTGAATAGGCGTTTCTAAAAATTAACACCTTTGAATGCGGAAACAATTAGAAAGGGGAGTTTCCAAAATGGAAACTCTAAATTAAGAGTACTACCACCCCTCACAAGTTAGCCACAGAGTAAACAAGGTATAAAGAATATATCTAGAAGTTACAACCCTGCAACACCAAGTTAGAACAGAGAATAAATATTTTTAGTGCAGGCAGGAAATACTGGACGTGTCCGGTATGAATACCGGACGTGTCCGGTATATACGATTTCTGCAGACCGGCCCCGAACTTGCTCCTTTTGATTTCTATCTTTAAACCAAACTGCAGGCACCTAATGGAAATGACAATATACACAGAGAACCTACAGAATAGCTAGAGCAACACAAATATCAAATGAAATACGAATTGAGACACGATATTTGTTTTACCAAAGTTCGGACTCGTCCAAGTCCTACTCTCCGTTGAGGGGTGTGGCACCAAATGAAGGTCAGCCCTAGAGGGTACCACGAAGGTCACTCTAGCCGTGAGTCTTTTCAACTCCTTTTCCTCCTTCCACTAAATGATTCCGAGGCGGCGAAATCGATGTACAAACTTTCGGGCAACCACAATCTCTCGGTTGCTCTCCGGCGACACCTAGGACCGAAAAGTCCAAGAGTAACAAATGCAAATCACGAGATTGACAATATGCACAAGTGCTCAAGTGCTGGCTTGCTCTCTTTTTTAAATTCTCTCTTAACCCACAAATTGATTTTGCAATTTGGATCACACACTCACTAAGAGAGGGTTTAGGAGACTAGGCAAGGCTAAAAACGTGTGTGTATATCGTCAGAATCAAGACCTCCAAAGGTGGGGGCTTGGGGGTATTTATAGCCCCTTGAAAAACTAGCCGTTTTATAGTCATTGCAATACCGGACACGTCCGATGTGC